TGCCAATGCTTGGCCTCCACAGCAGAGCACTCGGCGGCCATCACGGCAATAATGGCTTCCAGTTTGGCCACCTTCCCCTCGAGTTGAGCCTGTGTCCCAATAGCAGCCTCCTTCGATTTTTCAGCTGAAGCGACAATCTTGTTCAAACGAAATGCTTCCCTCTCCGCGGTTCGGCGTCCTTCTTTCTCTGTCTCCAAGCTTACCGTCAGTCTCTCAGCGTTCATTGCGGCCTCCAGCACGGCCCTTTCTAGCTCTTCAGCACGGGTAATGGATAGATGCATTCTCTGGATACACTACAAAGGACAACGAAGAATTAAGAGAAAATGAGACAACAACGCAATAATAAAGACAAGTAAAACGAGGAAACACTTACAGCAGCCATCATCTGAAGGGTCCCCTTCAGGATAGGAATATCACGGGGCCCATTATGGTCGGCCATGTCAACCGGTATCAACAAAAACTTAGTCAAATCAAAGGCAAAATCTTGTGAAACGACAATTGAATCAGAAGTGGAAATGGGCCTGCCTTTATGCGACATTGGCGGCTCCCATTTCTCAAAAGTCTCATCCTCAGCAGGATCCTCAAAAGCTTCCCCACCACTGCTTTGCCAGCCTCTCTTCTTCTCTTTTTTGCTCGCGCAGCGACCGAAGCTGAGGGCTCGGCAGTAGTCACAGGGGTCCCAGAAGCTCCCACCTCCATCTTCACTTCCATGAGGCTCTTCGTGTCACACCCCAAATCCGAGCATGACCGGCCGTGGCCCACAGGGACTTAGCCCAAGGCACACGTAAGCCTAAACATGAACCCAAAACCATAAAGAATAAATGTGATGATAGCCCAGAAATAAATAAATCAACACTCAATCCAGTGACAAATCTTACTTAGCTCCAGGTGGGGGCAAACAATTGTTTTCTTTTAAAACCAACCTGGACCTAAGTAAGATCCACTTACAAACTCAAGCACAGCTATACCACACATCCGTTAACCACACTGAGCATCAGTTCGGCCCCGAGGTCCCAACAGTGCTAGGCTGGGGGCAAACAGTACAATGCCACACTAAGCATCAGTTCAGCCCTGAGGCCCCAACAATGCTCGGCCGGGGGCAAGCAGTACAAAATCAGATAGAGCATCTATTTAAAAACAGTACAGAGCCAGACCGAGCTCTATTCGGCCCCGAGGTCCCAATAATACTCGGTAGGGGGTAGGCAGTATAGAAAACATTCAGATATAAAAGCCAAACAGCATCAGATTGCAAGTTCAAAGAGAAAATTCTATCATCCAAAGGCACAGATGGCCTCATAACCAGCAGTAAAGAAAAGAAAAGAGAAAAGAAAAATTGTCTTGGCAAGTGCAGAAAGAAAGCTCATCCTGGAGACCGAGCCACGATACATCAAAACAGAAAAGCAAAAAAGTTCAAATCCTTTCAACATCAACTTTCAGTAACAGAGGGAAACTCAGGAGCAGCATCAACAATTTCGTCCAGGCCGTCTGGGGGAGGAAAAGTAAAGGCAGCTCCAACTTCCTGAGAAGTAGAAGCCTCCTTAACCACATCTCCCGCGGCTTCGGTCTCCAAGGTTTCAATCCCTTCAACATCCACCGTTTCAGCGGCAACATTACTGTCCTGGGTCTTGTTCACAGAATCAGCTTCTGGGGAAACTTCGGCTGGAAGAACAGCAGGGGTGGAAACAGTCTTTGAACCCAAGGATCTTGAAGGAACTGGGATATCCTGAAACAGGGAAGAGCCTTCAGGAACCAGAGCGGCAGCTAAAGCGCTCGTCCAACCCTTTAGAAAGAGCTTGTCTCGCAGCACTAGCACCTCCTCCTTATATGCCGCCCCAGCTTCATCCCAGCCTTGTTGCCAATGCTTGGCCTCCATAGCAGAGCACTCGGCGGCCATCACGGCAATAACGGCTTCCAGTGCGGCCACCTTCCCCTCGAGTTGAGCTTGTGTCCCAATAGCAGCCTCCTTCGATTTTTCAGCTGAAGCGACAATCTTGTTCAAACGAAATGCTTCCCTCTTTGCGGTTCGGCGTCCTTCCTTCTCTGTCTCCAAGCTTACCGTCAGTCTCTCAGCGTTCATTGCGGCCTCCAGCACGGCCCTTTCTAGCTCTTCAGCACGGGTAATGGATAGATGCATTCTCTGGATACACTACAAAGGACAACGAAGAATTAAGAGAAAATGAGATAGTAACGCAACAATAAATACAAGTAAAACGAGGAAACACTTACAGCGGTCATCATCTGAAGGGTCCCCTTCAGGATAGGAATATCACGGGGCCCATTATGGTCGGCCATGTCAACCGGCATCAACAAAAACTTAGTCAAATCAAAGGCAAAATTTTGTGAAGCGACAATTGAATCAGAAGTGGAAATGGGCCTGCCTTTATGCGACATTGGCGGCTCCCATTTCTCAAAAGTCTCATCCTCAGCAGGATCCTCAGAAGCTTCCCCCACCACTGCTTTGCCAGCCTCTCTTCTTCTCTTTTTTGCTCGCGCAGCGACCGAAGCTGAGGGCTCGGCAGCAGTCACAGGGGTCCTAGAAGCTCCCACCTCCATCTTCACTTCCATGAGGCTCTTCGCCTCAGTCTTTTCCAGAGGGGTTTCTAAAGCATCGGAGGCTCCGAAAGCCTCGGCCTCTAAATCCACCAATACCCTTCTCTTCGCCACAGACCTGCCCCCTGCGAAACTGGGGGCAAGGGAAAGCGCTCTCTCAGAAAGTGCACCCTGACTCCTGCGACGGTTTGTGACCAAAGGAGTGAGAGATGTGTCAGTCTTGGTATCAGAGTCCAGAAGGGAAGCAACGAGCCTCGCCTTCTTTAGGATGGTGGAATGATAAGTTGACTGGTAATCCAATAACTCGGGTGCATATCTCTTTTTATATCTCAGGGAAGCTTTTATGGCTTTAGCATTTTCCCAGTTCGGTCTTCGTTGGAAACGAGAGGCCTCTACAAAAAAGAAGTGACCCATTAGAACGACATCCAAAATAAAGTAAGAAATACAAAAGGCGCTAGAAAGAAAGGCCCGAACCTGGGTAGCCGTCTTTCTGGGGCATCCGCTTAGACTGAAACTCGGTTCTGACGGGGAACCCCCAGTTTCTACCAACTTATAAGAAATCATCGTTGTGTTTATCCGAATCGGGTAACCCAGTAACCAAATGGCAATCAAACGAGAGAACACGCAAGTAATACGTGCTATGGTCTTTGTTATGAGAAATAGTATAACAACCAAGGATATCCCATATGTCAAGGTTCAAACCCAATCGTCTATTGAGGGCGGATACGCCGCAAACAACACGGAAAAGGTTCATAGATACTTGCATTGGGGTTAACTGGACTTGATGCAGAAACCGGCGCACCAACGGATCAAGAGGAAACCGAACCCCTCCCTCGACTATGGCAGCGATGGAAAAAGCGACGGTATTCCTCGTGCCCATACGCTTGGCGTCTACTTTCGCCAACGAAAGGGTAACGTTGTCGGGAATATTATAATCCAGGCGGAACATAGCCATGGCCTCGGGGGTATCAACCAGCGAGTGGAACTTTCTCGTTTAACAAACCTAATAGGACAAAGGTAGGACTCAGATAACAGAGTGTGGAACACAGACAGTGAGTGGGCCAAACCAGATGATTAAGACAGAAAGAGGTGAGAGAAAAGAATCACAAGAGGACTTACAGAGACTAGAACAGTGGTAGCAGAGCGAGACCAACGGCGAAAAAGTCTGAGCAAAGCACTACCGAGACTGGTTCAGAGGGACGGGAAGAGTTCTCTCTCTCTCTTTGAAACTCTCTAGAGGAACGAAAATGCAGATAAAAGGATTTTGTATTGACAGCCAGAGCATTAATTGCACCAGACGACGCGCAGGTACACGGAGCACGACCTTCGGTATGGAATCGACGCACTATCTCTGCACACCTATCCCATGTCGCCACGTGTTACCTCGAAAGGATGCATGCAAGAATTATGTGTCAGGATTGAACCATCACCAAGGCCGAACTGGGGAAGAACTGAAGCGACGCAACGCTTGGAGAGCAGAACAATAGCTCCCCACAAGGGGAACCTTAGCGTGAGCTAGGGGTAAATGAAGGGGCTGAATATGAAATAGGTCGAATCCAAGCCTTGGGCCGGCCCAATCTAATAAAGCCCAAGTTCAAATGGATTAGATGAATATATGGGCAAGCCAATTGAGCCCAACTCCATGATCAACAGTCTACCCAAGTCCTCAAGCACTTGGACCCAACCCGCAGTGGAAAGGCTAGTCCAGCTGCGACGTTGGGCTAGGCCGAGCTGCAGGACCGAACCTTTGGGCCGAACAGATGTGGGCCGAGCCCACACTAAGATATCCGAATAGACCAACCCGTCCCAACGAAAGCTTTGAATAAGGCCGAGCCAAGGTACTGAGATACCGAGCAAAGGGAACCTCATAGAAAAACATGGAAGTTGTGAACGTGTGCATGTGCAAGTTGCCACCTCAACTGGTCCCCCACACCTAGAATCACAGAAGTTGTTGAACCAAAGAAATGTGGTTTGTTATCAGCATGTCTACAATGAGTATATGCATTCAATGACAACTACCAGGTGGTCTCCCACCTTGACCAATGCTCCATGAACCCATCTTGAGAAGCAAGCAAGGAACCCTATATATATTATATGAACTTCACATTGAAGGTAACTGAACTATTCCAAACAAAATCACACTTAGAGATAGACTCAACTCTATATACACTTCTTCTCCGATCACTAATTCCCACACCGGAAGGGTTATCCGGCCAACCCCGGCCGGACAGCTCTAACGGTGTTTCTCGTGATAGGAACCTCTGTCCCTGGATAGTCCAACCAAATGCGGGGTCCCGATCCACTTTCATCTAGTGCGGAATCCGGTACGCACAAATTTAATATAAAAATGAATGGAACGTTAGATACTTTATTGTCGCATTACACAACCCATTATCACACTTAAAATTTTAATAAATAAAAATAACAATAAAAGAATAACAGAGCTCAAATTCATGTAATTAACCGTCTACTTATATTCATGTGAATAACCATCTACTTGTAGTTTAAGTAAATTATTAACTAGCGTTCATCACCTCTAAATTATTTCAGTGATGTTGAATAATAATGATGTAAACATATAAATCCAAACTTATCTCTGCAACCACAATTTCTTGAGCTGAGTTTCAGCATTATCTACAAAGCACTCAACCCTAAGTAAGCAAAAGTGGGTGCAAAAGCCCAAAAAATTCTCAACTCGACAGGTCTTGAGGATGTAACAAGCAGTACCATTAAGTCCTTTAGCTTGAATCAGCACACCCCATATTTTAGTTGTGGAGTATTGCAGTTGGCTGTTGCTGTTATTGTTATTGTCAACAATGCCTTCAGTCTCATCTTCATCATCAAAGAGCTTGTCTGAAACTTGTTTGGGTTTGAGTTCTTCTACCAAAATAACACCGTTGGGAATGGGGCTTATTCCTCCATCCCATCTTCCCTTAATTGTAGGCCAGCTATCGGCACCGGCTTTCTCTTTCACCAATCTCATACCCTTTTTTGATGATGAACATTCCTTGCTTTTGTCCTCGTCTTCGTCTGAATAAATATGCACTAGGAAAGGTGCTTCCCCAATGTTATTCACAATCTGTAAACGGTGGCCCAAAAGAAAGGAATCAGTAACAATCATATAATGCAAATTGCCTACTCAATGAAGCATAATGTTGTTGTAGAAGACTATATTACATTTCCAACAAATATTCAAATAAACTTTTTTTTATCAGTAGATTAAAAAAATAAATATTCAAACAAACCTGTTTTTGTGTTTGGAACTTTGGATTTTTTTGGACTATAGTCTACGCTAGAGAATTTTGTTATATAGGGTTGATTTACTTTCTCCCAAAAAAAAAAAAAAAAAAATTCAATATTAAAAAAAAACTAAAGGCTTAAGGAGAGGTCACGCTATGATAAACCCCGCGTGTATTGTATGTTAGAATATGGACTACTATGATAATAGGGCAAGTAATTAATGTTGATTAAGACTATTGTGGTGTTGAATTATTTTCTAAAGTGATATTAGTTATGAACTATCGTGATAGTGAAATAACAAAATGGAAAATGACTAAAAGTGTAACTCTTTTTAAAAATTATGAATCGTGATAGTGAAATGAGAAAATAAAAAATGACCCAAAAGTGTAAGACTATTGAAAATTATGAATCATCATCACAGTGATTATGTTGGTTTAAAATGAAAAAGACATGCAAGTTATTCAATTTGAAATGAAGAAGTCACAAAAAATGTGCCATTTAGTTGTCCAACAGCAACTTGAAAGATACAATATGTTAGAATACGACTTGAATACTACTCCTTGATTTTAAGACCAATAACACAAATCAAAATTAAAAGAGAGTATAAAATACTCTTTTTAATTATAAAGATTATGATCCCAATATGATGTGATGGTGTGATGAAATCCACAACAACATTTATAATTACACAAATTTTTTTAATATTATTTATTTATTTATTTATAGAGAATTTGTTGACAAGCAATGACAGCCACACAGGGCAAAACTCCCCTCCTCACCTGTCCACCTATTAAAATATAGCGCGCCAACACCACAACAACGAATTTATAAAAATAAAAAAAAAAATTTTAAAAAAATGGAAAAAACAAAGGGGGACTCGATTACTAACCTCTACAACGGAGTCTCTCATCCAGCGATCAAGTTTTTGAGAACTGTAGTCCTCCTCTTTCTTTTCCTCCTTGTCAACCACCATCCTTTTATTCGCAGCGAATTTGCTGATCACCTCCGTCCAGTGATCAGCAGCATAGGCATGATCACAACTAGGAATCACAGCTCGGCCTTTATCGCCGGCCGGCCAATTAGCAGCAACACTTGTAGTACTACAACAACGGTGGCTCTGCGCCTTCTTGTGCTGATGATTTGGCCTCTGATTCTCCTTGGAGATTAACAAGTTCTTCTTCTTAATATTGTTTTTGTTGGGGAAAAATCGATTCTGATGACCTACGCAACCTCGCTGATCGGAACAAGATGCTACGACGGCGGCGGCGGAGAAGCTTTCGTATCCACCACCGCCATGCAATCGCAGGGACGCCATAGAGTAGTTTGAAATGGTGATTCCGAATTGAGAATTGCGAGGTTGGGTTAGGACAGAGAAGCGAGGCTTGAGGCGGAAAGATGAGATGCGATGTTTTGATTTCAATTTCGTTGTGTTGTTGTTGTTTTATAAAGCAACTCCGACGTGGCATGCCATGTTGCCTCCTCTTACTGTCACGTTCCTGCACGCGATTCCCTCAAGCTTCTTTCGTGTTTCTCTCTCGTCAACACACTCCACCTCATCTGTTATTTCCACGTCATTTATATATTCTCTTCTCTAAACCATCTTTCCCCAAAATTTATTAGGGTGGTTCATAAATTTAAATTTAAAGAGTGCTGCTATTCTATCAATTATTTTGAATTTTTTTTTTAGTTTTTTTTTTATTACAATAATAATCTTAAATGAAATTATTAAAAAAGATATCAATAATTTTGAAATATCTCATCTCACAATTAAACTCACACACCCACTACATCATGAGTTAGGGTTAATGAGAGCACCTACCTCCATCACCACCCATCCATCTTCCCCAAATCTCACCTTAAAAATCCTTTGACGGCAATATTTCGGCGGTAATGGTGACAACCATTTGATTACCTATATTTTTCCAATAGTGACAATGAGTGAAAGTTTTTCTAGCAATCACAACTCCATGAAACGAGAGGAGTAAAACAATAAAAACTCAAAGGAGGTTCATACTTTTGATGTTGTTTTTACCTTAGAGGAGATTGGCCTTATAAAGGTAAGTTTCTTAAAAAAAACAAAACAAAAAAACAAAAATAATAAAAACTGTTCGTCATTTTTTTGAGACTTAACTCCCAAACATATGACCGAAATTCGGAAACATAGGCCCAAGCATTGTTTATTTGTTCGGGAGCAAGTAATCAAACATTTATTTTCTCAGGTCATGAACAAATACGTAGAGATAGAATAGTAATTATCTTCGTGGGTTTTGTTATGGTTTTTGAGAGAGGAGTTTTTTTGGGGTGTGTCGGTGTGCATTCAATTGAATAGGTGGAATGTTTTCACAAGGATAATTTTGGTATTGTTTGGGGAGTGAAAAGAAATTTTATAGGTTTTAGAATTTATAAGTGGAGATTCAAAGAAATGGGGGATCCAAAATAATTGATGAGGTGGTAATAACAGTACTCAATTAAAATTCTGTTTGGCCAAAAATTCAAGCACTCAAATACTTTACCTATAAAATGACCAAAATAACCATGACAACACCGCCACTCCTCCGTCTCGTGCCGACGATGGCGTCTCTATTTTTAACTCATTTACGTCTGTCTGTCTGTCTGTCTCTGTCTCTGTCTCTGTCTCTCTCTTCAGCTCTTAATCAGACACTGAAAGCTGTATATATATTGATCTCTATCTCTCACAATCCTTAGAAAACCCTAGCAATGGCGAACACTACTCAGCTCAGGCAAGTGGACCCTATTGTCTGGAAAGCCTATGCTGGAACCTGCATTCAAATCGCTACCGTCGATTCTAGGGTTTACTACTTCCCCCAAGGCGATGTCGAGCAATCCTCATCCCCTCTATTTCTCTCTCTCTCTCGTCTTCTCTTAGACTTTGATTCTCTGTCGCGTCGTCGCTGTTTGCTTCCTCGCCAACTCCGGCCTTGACAAGGCGTTTCTTTCTCTCTCTCTCTCTCTTCTCTCTCTCTCTCTCTCTCTATATATATATATATATATACAAAATATGTGTTTTTGAAAAAAAAAATTTTGAATTTTTCAAAGTATGTTTTTTGAATTTTTTTGATTTTTTTTGGGTGATAATAGTTGTTGTTGATGATGAAACATAACTTAGATTTGTTGAAATTCATGTTTTAGATCTGATCTATTGAAAAAAAAATAGAATTTCATTAGGTAGAATTCAAGAAGAAAAATTGAACAAATAGTTATTCTCTCTCTCTCTCTTGTTTTTTTTGTTTTGTTAATTCCTATAGATAGAGTGAGAAAGAAAGAGATGAGAGAGAGAGAGAGAGAGAGAGAGAGAGAGAGAGAGATGTTATTGTTGTTGTAATCTACCTATTGCAATCAAACCAAATTACAAATTAATATTGACCAAAATTTCCTAATATAAAACATATATGTATATATATATATATATATTGTAACGCCCTGAAATAATTCAACATAAAATACCCACATTAATGAACATTCACTAAACAGTAACAATAACCCTTCCATCTTCACATATTTGATAAATGAGTTTAATACAAAAGTTCCACATGCAGTATACATTCAACGAAACAAAAGAACACATGAATCTATAGCATGTGAAACATATAGTCTCATAATAGAAATAAAATAAAAGAAAGGGGAACTTACTGATAAGTCTCATGCACTAAGTTCAAAACCCAACTAATCCCAAAACAAAATACTTACACCAATTAGTCCAATACATTTTTAATTGTTACCAAAAAATTCTTTTTTTTTTTTTTTAATTTACAGACACTGTTCACATTTTACTACCGTCGGACTTCCGTCAAACGGTCGCCGGAGACTCGTCGGAATGTTCAACATCGCCGGAGACTCGTCGGAATGTTTAAAATATGTTATGAAACTGTAAAATTTTACAGTTCTAAAGAATGTTATAAAACTGCAAAATTTTACAGTTTTAAACCATGATTCATTCCAGCACCAAAAAAAAATTTGAAATTGCAAACTTTTACAGTTTTCACCGCCTGTAACTAAAACTCGAAAATTACTTGTTCAGAATTCGAAAATTTTCTCCATTAGAACAGAAAAATAGAAGTGTATAGCAGAGAAAAAAAAAAGAGATTGAAGGAGAAAGGTAGATGTAGAGAGAGGATTGTACTCCGACAACTATTTTTTGTTTAGATCTAGCCAAATCTGATGTAGATCTACTCAGATCTGATGTAGATCTGAGTAGATCTACATCAGATCTAAGTAGATCCACTCATCTTCTCCGTCGAAAATATATATCTTCGCCGTCGGTGAGAGTGAAATCACGAGTTGATTTCGATGGTTGGCGGTTATCAGTGAACCCCGATCAATGGAGAAAGACATGAACACTTGCACCATCGTCTATGACGAAGACGATGAGAGAAAAATGTAGAAAAAAAGAGAAAGAAGAAAACGTAAAAATGGAGGAAAAAACCAGAGAGATGGAGGAAAAGACTTTTGGGTGTACCCAAAAAGTTATGGGATTAAATGGTGTCCACATATTCCATATGGGACCTGTGGGTAATTTCCCCTAAAAGAAATGCCCTTGCGGGCTTACATCTTCCAAGGCAATAACCCGGTTACACAAAAAGGTCTCTTAGACGCATACCAAATTAGCCCTAGGCTTTACAAAAATCACAACAAAAGAAAAATAGCCCGGTTACACAAAATGGTCTCTCGGACCCATTCCAATTTAGCCCTAGGCTTTACAAAAATTACAACAAAAGACAGAGTGTTCTACTCTTCACCAAAATATATCCACACCCTTAGCTCGACGGGATCACAACATCTTTACCTGTACCAAAACCCATAAGGGTGAGCATAAAGCCCAGTAGAGATTTCTCACAAAGTATATACTGTTATGCAATTCCTACTGTAAATGCATATGCGATGCCATGCAATATCTTTATAGAAAAAGGAACCTCATTTCAATGCTCAACTTGAAACTCACCATGTTAACAAATGTATTCCACAATCTTAATAATTTCAAAACTTCCACTTTAAATCAATAGGGGCGATAAATACGACACTGGTAATCTCTAGGCTGGTGTCTGCAAGTAGACTCTACAAGTACTACCCAATTGTCATTTTTACCGGTATTAACCGGAAGGCTCGACACCTATCCGCGCGATTTTCTGGTCTTTCACCATAAACACTTAGGCCAACTTATCAAGGTCAACTACACCCCCTAATTGGACTTACCAACGTATTTACCCCTTTAACAATTCCATAGTTTTCATCACAATGTAATCTTTCTCAATGTAAACATTTTTACCACGTATGCCAAGATGTACAACAATGAATAAAATTTAAATAAGCACATGATGCAATAGATTATAACTCATAACATTTCCACATCTTCCCTTCCATCAATGCCATTATCGCAAAATAACCACATGCCCAACCTATGTTATCAACACATAGTCATAACTTCCCAACATACTCATTTCTTAACATTCTAGTCCTTTCAAGACCATATGAAATTTTCAAACATCAACTATCAAGATTTCAACTCTCATAATCCATGGAGCTCATTATTTATCATCTCATAACATCACAAGTTCAAGTGTTAGTAACAATGTTAAAATGACATCTTATTCTCATACCTCAAATTCATTGCTATTTTGTTGAACATTTGATGAAACCCACTCTCATTCATCCTATTAACATAAGAAAATAAGGAATTTCAAAGACATTTCCCATTTTATCAAAATCCCCAAATTTCTAGGGTTTTTATTAAAAACAAATCTCCATCGTTTTCCAAGGAAAACTCAATCAAAATCATCTCTCATGAGTCTAATAGAGGAAAAACTCTCAAGAGTAGAAAATATATTGAGATACAAGCCCATATTCAAAACAAAATCTCTACATATTGAACCAAAAATTAAAAATCAACACATAACTTCAAGAACACTGTTAAATCAAAACCCATGTAGCAAAACTTGTATATATAACTCAAGAAATCCCTACCTCAAGCTTGTTGATGAAATATGAGATGAAACCCTAGCTTTTGATGGAAGATCCTTCAACCTCTACCACTCCAAGAGAGACCCTAGCTCTAGATCTTCAAGATTTAGAGGAAGATGTTGATGATCTTGACTCAAGATTTGCAAGAATCCAAGTGTTTTAGGTGTTTGAGGGAGTTTTCTAGAGAGAATTGGGAGAAAAATAGGGTTTAGAGTAAGAGAGAGATTACCAAAATGAGAGATGTATTCGGACCAAAAAGATACAAAAAAATAGAGTTTCGGACTGCCCAGTTGGCCACTCTTGCGGCCTCCATCACCGCTCGTACGGCCCACATCCACCGCTCGTGTGGCCCACTCCCACTGCTCGCGCGATTGATTTCAGAATGCAAAATTCTGGGTCTCAACCTCCACCGCTCATGCAGCCCATCTCCGTACGTGCGACCTAGGGCCC